GCTGCTACACAGTATTTCTATCAGCCTTTGGCTACTCTGCTACCTTACAGTAAGTGATGTGCCAGCGTTTTTTTTTTCTGGAAAGTTCCCATATTTGTGCGTTACAGGTCTCCCAGGAGGATCAACGGCGTTTGCAGCGAGTTCGCGTCAACCGCAATATGTTTCTTTCGCTCCGGCAGCACAATCGCTTGTGCCTCAGTTTGTTCCTGTCTCAATTATGGATCCGACAGTTCTTGCAGCCCAGGCACAAGTACAGGTAATATATCCTGTGATTGTTGCCGGTACTGCAATGAATTTTCCATAATCCTGTCCTTCAGTGGCAAGGAGCTGCTGCAGCGACTGGATCGCAACTGATTTGGCCAGCCCCGACTATTTTCCCACCGGCCACGGAGTTGTTCATGCCGTCTCTCCAGGCTATGGCTGGACAGCGAGCTGCCACACAATTCAATCAGGTACGGTGGTTTTCCCTCTTGTCTATGCAATTTCGTATGTCTGGACAACGCTACAGTTTTTAAAGGTATTCGCTCCTCAGCCTCCTCAGAAAGGATTCACCATGCCGACCGCTGCGCTCTCACAGCCACAACTGGCTGCTGCTCAGATGGCCACCGCTTTTGTAGTGAGTTAAACATCCCACGTATTTTTTTTTAAATTAAAGGATTTTTTTACTCGAAGGAATAGTTTTGCTCAAATAGTCATGTAGTGCGCGCAGAAGTTTTTATGACTGTTGATGCTCTTGGAATAAATTTCTTTTCTAGTGTATATTACAGGACGAGGCAGCATGGGCTCAGCCAAACGTTGCCGGACTTACTGCTCAAATGGCTGCAGCTCATCGTATTCCGATGCGAACAGACCATACCAAATGGTATGCTTTCCTCATAAATTTCGTTGATTCGTTTAGAAAACCTACCGCAATCGCAGTAAACATAGTCGACGTGAACCTACAGCTTATGCTCTTTTGTTACGTTCTAGCTATTTTTGTCCATAAAAACAAAAAAAATCGCTGTCTTTGAGGAACGCAATTTTCTATTTTAGTCCATAATACAGTAGTAGTAAAAAAAATTTTCTACTTTATTTTAAGCATGCTGTAAAATTCATAAATCTGCATTGTTTTTGTGAGAAATGGTTTTCTTTAGTGGTGTGTCAGAAGCTACGATCGCACGACGAGCAGCAGCAAAAGCAAAAGGAGTTGTCCCATCGCCAGCTGTTTCCGTTATAACAATCAGTTCCAGCGAAGAGGATGAACAGAACGGGAATAGGTCAGCGTAGTCTTAGCTATTTTTCTCGAGTT